ACCAGGATGTGGCGGGGCGGCCGCCGCCGGCGCCCGGGCCCGGGTCTGACGTCAGCGCCCCCGCCCATTGCTCCGCCTGCACCCACCAAACCCCCTGGAGCTCCAGGCTGGCTCCTGGGTCCCCCCATTTTGCTTGCCGAGAGAACCCGAGCGATTGGGGGAGGCGCCCTAGTTGAGGCTGGGTATAAGCGTCTCATCTTTGTGCCTTTTAATCTCTGGCCCGTATGGCCCTTCTGGCACACCCCCTGAATCCTTGGGGTATGATCACAGTACCCCCAACTCAGCTGATACCCCATAAGAAAGCTGTGGCTCTTTTTCAGGCTCAACCAATATGCATATAATAATAATAATAATAATAATAATAATAATAATAATAATAATAATAATAATAATAAAACCTCTGCGGGAGGTGAAGTGGGGAGGTGCGGAGGTCCGCAGAACATCACGATTTATATTGGCCTCAAGTACAAGGAAAAGCCGGTCTGGGACTCAGTTTCCTCAGTTGTGGAATTGTCCAGCCTCAGGTCGTTCAGAAATCCCTCTGGAGCTGGGGCGTGTATCTTTAACCCCAGCACTCAGGAGGCAGAGGCAGGCGGATTTGGGAGAGTCCAAGGTCAGCCTGGGCTACACAGCGAATTGCAGTGCAGGCAGGGTTACTTAGTAAGATCTTCTATCAAAAAAACAGAAAACCTTCCCAGTGGTAGGGGGACATGATGGCACACGCCTTTAATCCCAGTACACAGGAGGTAGAGGCAGGCGGATCTCTGAGTTCGAGGCCAGCCTGGTTTACAGAGTGAGATCCAGGACAGTCAACAGTACAAGAGAAACCCTGTTATGAAAAAAAAAAAGACAAATAAAAGAAAGGAATGAAGATAGGAAGGAAGGAAGGAAGGAAGGAGAAGAGAAGAAGAAGAAGAAGAAGAAGAAGAAGAAGAAGAAGAAGAAGAAGAAATTCCTTCTAAATCCAGCGTGTGTGACTGCCTCTTGCCCACACTGTGCCTGGGGTCTAGGGATACCTTGGCTGAGGTCACCTGCAGACCTGCTCGGGTTTTTCCTGAGGCTGCGGGGAGCCTAGGAACTCTTTCTCCAGCCTTTAGACAGGGAGGGAGGAAGGAGGGCTCTCAGGGGACATATCTTCTGGACCCAAGGCGCCTGGAGACAAGATCCCTCATGGATGGGTAGAGATCCTAGAATGGCCAAGCCAGGCCCTCGGGGGTCCAGAGTCTAGGTCAGGAGGGGACCCCAACTTTGTTCCAGCTCTTTCTCTCTTCCTTCTTTTCCCTGCCCACTGTCTAGGGCGACTGCCAGGGTCCATTCTGGAATGGGGAGTCACTCCCTCTACAGGGAGAGAACCAAGTGCCCTAAAATGTCAGATGCCCACTTATGTGAGGACTCCTCCCCCATCAATGCCTTGGTCTTGGGCTATTGGGCTGAAGAGACAAGGCAACCATCCCAGTAGTGGATGTGGACAGTTACATTGTGTCCTTGCTCCAGGCAGCACCAGAGCCTTCTGTGTTCCTCAGTTTCCCTTTCCACTCTGACCCCGTGGGAGCAGAGGAGCTGTGGAGGAAGATCCGTGTGTGTGTGTGTGTGTGTGTGTGTGTGTGTGTGTGTGTGTGTGTGTGTGTCGGACCCAGGGCTTCCTGCTCACGGGCTCGGCAGACAGGGCAGAAGAGGACGCAGCAGGTAGTACATTTATTCCGGTCCAGCTGTTTAAAGCCCTGGGAGAAAGGCCCGCACCCACCACATCTGCCTGCTGCCGCCTTGGTCCCTGTGGGGCAGAGTTGCAGAGTGTATGTACTCTTTTCTGTTTGTTTTTACCCAACCACCTACCCAAAGGTCAGAAGCCCGAGGATGTTCTGATATGGGATGTCTAGACAATTTGGGGGTACACACGTCTTCCAGATAGAATGGCGGAGGCGAGGAGAGGGACCGATCTCACCACTTGGGTTTCCTCTCCATGTAGTGATGAGGTAGGGGGTACCGGCTGTGGCCAGGCTTACAAGTCTGAGGTCCCCAAGTCTACTCTGCCACATTACAGATAATTAAAAATAATCGTGGGGTGTGGAAATCAATCCTGCACCGTTAGCCGATAGCATCCAGGGCTTCAGGAAGCGAGGAGCGAGCAGAGCCCTGGGAGCCCAGCAGGCAGGGGGCTGACGGGGTGTTTGTGACTGGAGAAACAAGAGGTGGCTAGATGCTCCTGTCGACCGGTTGGGATGATGCTAGCCACCTGCGGGTGGGGGGCTCCTGTGGAGGGGGTTGGGATGGTGCAACCCCGTCTTCATTCCCTCCTATGCTGGTTCTTGTTTTAAGTAATAACCAAGGTGGATTTTCTTCCTGATGAGGGAGGAATCCATTTTGAGAGAAAAAAAGAAGTTGATGGGTGACGTCGAGAGGAGGGGGGTATTTCTGTTGAATCAGAACCCTCGGGTGCCACACACGCCCTTTTGAACGGCCTAGATTTAGAAGGGACCTCTCAGCCCCACGAAGGGACTTTTTCTGGCGTGTGTGTAGCCTGTGCTTAAATCTTCTCAGAGAAACCCTTCTCTGCAGGGTCTGAACTCTCTCTGAGAGATGGAGTAAAAAATCTAGGGGTCCCTTCAGAACCGCACTGCTTCATCGTCCCCCCCTCAGCCCCAGAACTGGCCTCCCCCACGTTAGTAATTAGTAAAATAGAATTGAGTGGGGCCACGGGGCATGCGGGTGGCTGGGGCCTGATCGATCTTGGGTCATTAGCAAATTGAGGGTGGAGGAGGAGTGCGCTGGAGGGGGGCAGGGCGCCCCCATCTCCATACCCGTGGGGATCTAGGACAACTCATGGAAGCTCCCAGTGGGAAAATCAGAGGTGGAGTCCAGAAGCCCAGGAAAATGGCCCTCTGGGTGTCTGGAATGTGCTGGGCTGCTCCAAGCTGACACTGGCTGTCTCTGTGCTCAGCCCAAGTATGGGAGGTTTCGGGGGTCTCGATTTCCGGGAGCGCTGTGAGGGTCGGGTGAGCACAAGCATCAAGGGTGTTGGGGGGACCTGCACGGGCTGCGCGGGAGGAGCGGTTGGCTGCCCCTTCAACCTCCAGGAGATTCCTCAACGGTCCTTGTCTGACGCCCTCATTTTAGCTAAAAATGGATGCAGGGGCTTGAAACACCCAAAGTTGTGCCTTGAGGTGGGTCACCCACCCTCCCCCGACAGGTCATGGTTTATTATTTCCCACGGAAATGAGAGTCTCACCCGCTGCACACCTGTCCCCGCTATTCTCACCCGGGACGCTGGCGACTGTCTCCTCCAGTTCAGTAAGAGCTGGATGGCCCGCAGGTCCCCGGGCCAGCCTTCCCCAAACCTGCAGGCTTTGCGAATCTGTTCCCCACAGCGCAGCGCCTGTCCTCCTCCGTTGGGGATGTGCTAAGGGTGGGTGTGAGATGCATGTGATGAGAACAGACGAGAGGTGTCGGGTCTGGGGTGGTCCCGAGGTTCTCTGTCTGGTGTTGGGGTTGCACGGTTGCACACATATTCTGAGTGTGGTAGGGGCTCACCCAGGGCACACGCGGCACCCCGAGATCTCTGCACCGCCCTGGCCTGTGCCGGCTTCGCCTGTGGCAACTCCCCCGGGCTGCTCCGCGACAGCTGCGCCCAATCGATCCCCGAAGGCCCCGCGTCTCCATCGAATCCGCATCGCTCTGGGCCGCGCAAACACCCGCTTGTTTGCAGCGGCCCCAGGGGCTGCGCGACCGCATGCCGGTGCAAGGACCCTCAACTTCTCAGGTTCCAGGACCTCAGTGGCGGGGAGAGATCCCCATTCTAGACCAGGATCTGCCGCCACCCTTGCCTGCCACCCTGCCACTCGGTTTCCCACCCAGAAAGCAACCGTTGGCGCTGTGGGACCCCAGAGGAGAGAGAGGGCCCAATGCTGTTCTCTGAGCCACCTGATGCTTCCCTCTGCTCTTCCTTTGTCCTTCCCCCCCCCCCCCCCCCCCGCTTCCTTCTCTGACGGGGTGGGGTCTCCTGTAGCCCAGGCTGCCCTCAACCAGGCTCCTGACCTTCCAGCCTCCTCCTGGGGTGAGGACCTGCAGACCCTGCTTGTCTCCTCCAGTCTCTCCACCATGAGATTGGGGAAAATGAACTGTCCTTACGGTGGAGATTGGGGAAACTGAGACCTGATCTGGGGCTACCGGAGGGCGGGCAGGAGCAGGGACCAGGTAGGGGCCTCCTGGATGCCCCCACTCTGGGGTTCGCGTCCACTTGAGTTGAACAAGGAACTCCCCGCGGCGAGGTGCTGCCAGTCCAGGACCAAGCACTGTGCAGGGCTGAGGGGACTACAGAGACCCCCTGCCCACAGCGTCCTGCCCCGGGTGGCCCCGCGGGTCTCTCACAGGAAAGACACCCTGAAGTGTCCCACGGTGCCTGGGGAGGTCTGCTGGAGCCCTAGCCCAGGAGAGGACCCACCGCCAGGCGCACGTGGGCCACCCCGGATGGCGTCTGGCCCTGAGCCTCCACAGCTTGGCTGGAGGCAGAGAGCGGGTGAGGCCCGGCTGGAACGCGCCATCAACGCGTCATTTATCAGAACACACCCGGCCCTTTCCGCCGACCCAGAGGGTGGGGAAGGAAGGCGCGTCCCCGAGGACAGCTTGGCGAGGCTCCTACGTCTGTCTTCCCTTTGGTATTGAGCGAAAAGGGTACAGTTCCATGGGACGGGAACTGCACCTGCAGAGTTGGCGGAGGAGGTCGCCAGCCACTGTAGAGAGCGGGCCTCTCCCCTCCCTTGCTGGGGAGGGGAAGACAAACGCTACCCCTCCACCCAAGACAGGACTAGGGCAGCAGCTTTTCCTTTCTGGAGCCAGAGGTCCTAGCGGCTGGGTTTTGTAGGATCTGTAGGAGTTTGGGCCCGCAGAAGGGGCTAACAGCACTGGAGGCAGAAGTCAGCCAGCAGCCTAGTTCAGGGATCTCACCGGCCCACATCAGGAAATGTTTGGTGAGTGAGTCAATCAGATAAAGCCAGGAACTAGACTGGGGTGGGCCAGACGGAGAGCCAGGTTCTGCGTGGTGCTGAGCCCAGAGGACAAGGGGTGGAAGCCGGCTTGGAGTTAGGTCCCACTGGCCCCCTGGGGTGTCCAGGTCGACCCAGCGCTGAAGGGTCAGCCTTGACTGGCACCGTGCCTCCTCCTGCCACCCACCAGTCAGAAGACAGCAGCCTGAAATGAGAATTCCCCAGAGTCTCCAATGTCCTGGACCTGCTTGTCAGGTGGATTAGCCCCCCCCCCCCGACCCCCGCTCGGGGCCACAGCCACAGGGGAGGGGTGGAGAGAGTGGACCCTGGGAACAGACGCTGGAGCTGCGGGGGGGGGGGGGGCTTCCTTCTCCCTGGCCTCAGTTTCTCCCACTGGGCAAGCAGAGAGACAGACCATGGGCATTTTGGGGTTCTGGGAACCCAGCTTACCTCCCTCTTGTCCCTCCGTTCTCGGCTGCCTCCCCCCCTCCTCCCTCCTCCCCAACAAGCTCCTTTGTCTAGGCTAAGTCGCAATCACTGTGACAAACCCCTGGCTCCCTCTTCCTCCCCCTCCACTTCTAGGAGACTGCAGATTGGCTGGGACAGGGAGCATAAGGCAACCTCTGGTTGTTTTACAGATGGGGAAACTGAGGCACATCCAACCACCTGCTTCCTAGAGCAGGTACCTCTCAACTGAAGGCCCACGGTGACCAACACCACAGCCCTGTACCCCTGCAGGAACGTTGGGGCGACTGTTTCAGCTGCCCCGCAGGCTCTGTCTGCAGGGTTGCTTAGGATTTGACCCACAGCACGGACTCCTGTGGAGCCTCCTTTCCTCCTGGACCAGCGCTGTCCCAGCCTCCACTGGGGATGCTTGCTAGAGACACAGGAAAGATCTGTGGCAGATGGGGCCTCCCAGGTCCACCCAGCCTCAAGGGGAGCCAACCAAGGAGTGGGGAGTGGAAACTTCACCCCAACCCCTGGCATCCATGTACCCAAAGAGTCTTGAATGCTCATCCCAATCTCCCTCCCCCATCTCTCCCCAAATCCTGCTGCATCTCAGAAAGCCCACCAAATGATGACCCCCTCCCCAGAGATGCTCAAGACCTCGCCCTCAGGGTATTTAAACTGCCCACCAGAAAACAGCATGGTGGGTTTGTGGTCTTCCTTCCCTGTCTCCTCTCTGGGGGCTGGAAAATCACCCAGGAGCGTTGTACCCATTAAACCTGGGCTTTTTCTAATTTGGTTCGATTTGGTCTGATTTGGACTGCTGTGTCGGCAGAGAGGCTTCTGGGTACACAAGCTTTTCATGGAGGCTGGGAAAATGGAACTGGGAGGGTGGAGAAGGCTGGGAGGGTGGAGGGTGGGAGGGTGGAGGAGGCTGGGAGGGTGGAGGCTGGGAGGATGGGAC